CCGAGAGCCTCCGCCCTGGCGCACGGCAGGGGACCGAGACCGTCTCCGCCCCGTGTTGCTCCTAGGGCCTCGCCACACTCCCTAGCAGGGTCGCCCCGGAGCACCGAGGGGCCGGGCAGAGGGGGGCCCGAGGAAAAGTTTGGGGTGGCGCGGGTTAAAGTGCGCGATCCCGGGCCCGTGACCCCGCGCGAGCGCCGTTGGCCCCGCTCCTCCCTAGTGGACGAGAGCTGCACGCACGGAAGAGGAAATGCGCCGCGGCCGCGCTCCCGGCCTCTGCGGACCGCGGACGCTGCGGAGGAGCCGGACGGCCGGCGTCCGGGGACGTGGACTTTCCTTAGGGCTCGGCGCCGGAACGCTGCCCCGAGCCAGGCTGTGCGTGGTTTTGATGGGCTTGGCCCCCCGCCCTGGTCTCAGAAAAGGCAATTGAGTGAGATCGGGAGACGCTAAAACAATGCTAAGCCGTGCTGATAAATCCTGCACACTCCCCCGCCCCTGTTACTCATATGCGGAAGAGCAGAATCCGCCTTGTGCCAGGTAGCCAGAAAGGCCGGAGCTGACGAGCGCGCAGAGGAGACTGAACGCGTGGCGAGAATCTGGCAGAAAGCTCCGTGATCGCAAACTGGGACCCTGAAAGTTCAGGGCTTAACCTGGCAGAGGGAAAGATGCCTGTGATTGGGAGGGCAGTGCAGGATCGATGGAATTTTTGGCTCTTCGGTACAATTGCTTTATTAAAAACAAAATGAATCAGCCTCCAGCCCTCCCCCAAGGAAAGGTCATCGTGGATACGTTTTCACTGACGCATTCTAAGAAGTCTAGGCCGACTGTGGCCCCGGGCTGGGATAGAAAGAATGACCAACAGCCCTGGTTCTTGCACACTCCCACGCAAATCCAGTGGTGGCCTTTCCTCGCTGAATGCTATGGGTCACGCATCGTGCTACGACGTTAAACACCTTGTTTTGTTTAATCCTCCAGCAGTGCAGTGATTTACCTCTTACGGCCCCAATTCTAACATTAGGAAAGTAAGATTCAGAAACAATGATTTCTAAGGCTACACAATAAAGGGCAGGATTTGGTTTCAAAGTCAGTTTGCCTTGGAGCCCCACACTTGTCAGGGTGACTTTTGGCAAAAATCCACAGCTCCCAGAGGTGAATGTCACTCTGGTGGCTACGCAAAATATTCCTTGGGAATACAGGCCATGAGTGACAAATTCAGACCGGGGATCGTTCTGGCAGGTGCCACATTCAAGTGGCATTTGTTCTGGCTGAATTCAAAGGTTGGACAGGAGCTCACAATCCGAGGAGGAAGAAGAATGTCGCAGGCCAGGACCTGGGAGAGCTGAGAGTGTCGCTGGGGCCTGAGCAGATCTCAGTGGAGGAGGGACTGCCACGGAGGTGGGGCACATCCCAAGGCCCCCAGGTTTAAGGCCACCCTGGAGTACGTAACAAGACCTTGTCTCAAAAACGAAACAACAGAAGAAAAAGAAATCAAGGCGGCAACATCAGGGAGAAAGACAGATGTCCAGGAGAATGCCAGTGGGGCACATGCAGTAGTTTTCGTACATGGAAGATGAAAGGCAGGCACTGGACAGTGTCAGCACTCTAGCTCTAACCTGACCAGCCTTGCGTGTTCAAGACTAGAGCCATAAATATCCCAGACTTTTTGGAACGGAAGAGGCATTTTCTCACTAATGAGCAAAGTGAGACACCACGAGGTTAGATGACTTGCATGACAGTGCCGAGGCGGAACTAGCCCGAGATTCTGTGATGTATTCATTCGACCTATAAATATTTATTACGTGCTTACTTAGTGTTTTAGGAGCAGTGGGAAGGGATGGAAATATGACGGTAGTGACAGCTGACTCATTCTTGCCCCTGTGGTACAGTCAGCCAGGAGGCGGGCGTCAGTCAGATCACACCCAGGCACAGATGTTGGGCCTGGCCTGAGTGCGGAGGCAGCACTGAGGGATGAGCCCTGCTGGGAGCTCCCAGAGGAGCAGCACTTCGGACCCTAGATCCAGCGGGTGATCAGGACCCGAGTCGGGGGAGGAGAGAAGACACGCAGTCGAGCAGAGGAAACAGACCGGCAAAGTTCCATGGGTTGGAGGAAATGTGACGAGCGGAAAAGCCCACAGGATGGAGTGGCCGGGGGAGAGCAGGATGACACTGGGCCAGCAGGTGTAAAAGAAGCATGGAGTGCCACTGTGTGCGGTGATCTGTCCCCACCAAGACTCGCACCAAAGCCAGACTCAGTGTGGCGGTGCTGGGCCCTCAGGGAGGTGACTAAGATGTGAGGGTTCTAGGGAGTGAGTGCTGTAAGCCTAGACGAAGCCTCTCCGGATGAGCTCCACCCCTGGGAGAGGGTTCTAAGCAAGCCTGGAGCCTCCCGGGTCTCCCTGGCCATGTGACCTCTTCTCTGTACGTTGGTCACCATGCCCAGCCCCTTCTCCGCCATGTTTGGGGCAGCACACCAGAGGTGACTCCATCCTGGCGCTAGGCTTTTGGACCTGCGGGATGGCGAGCTAAATAAACCTCTGTATAAATTACCGAGCCTCAGGGGTTTTGTTACAGTGGCTGAGAACAGACTCAAAATCTAAGCTGCGAGTGGACTGAGCAATAAAAAGCCTCTGGCAAGTTCTAGAAATGGTGCTAAGTGAGCTCTCTGGGGCCACATTGCCTAAGTCAGCGCTGCCCGCTGTGATTTATTCCAGGTGGATGACGAATGGGAAGGAAAGTTTCTCCCCTCTTGGAAGTTTCTGAATGTCTACCCACCTATGTGAGTCTTGGATACAATTGGACTCTATAATTTTGCTTTTTAACATTCTGATCTCGGGAGCTCTAGAAGAGATGAAAAACCAATACAAAAGTAAGCAAACAGCTGGGCATGGTGGTGCATGCCTGTAATACCAGCTCTTGGGAGGCTGAGGCAAGAGGATTGCTATGAGTTCAAGGGCAGCCTGGGCTACACAGTGAGTTCAAGGCCAGTCTGAACTACCCAGCAAATTCCTGTCTCAAAACAAAGCAAAACAAACAAAATGAAGTAAGCAAACAACATATGATGTGTAATATGGTAGACAACTTACTCTTTTGAGGATTCATTGTCCAAAGTAATCAACTTGTTATTTTTTTCAAAGATTGCACGTAGTTTTTTTTTTCTTTCACTGGGGCAGATTTCTGCAGCTGAGGAGCATGGCCAAAGAGCTGTCTTCCCAGGGAGTGGGGTGCGGTGCCCTCATCTCGGGGGGGGGGGGTGGCGCTGGCTGGCAGTCCTAGGACTCCAGGAAGGCAGCAGCCTCCACTCGGAAAAATCCCGGGGGCTGAACTTCAGGGACTTGGGCTGGCAACACGGCTGCTGAAGTAGTGGCCGAGGACTTAGGAGCTCCGGTGACAGTGATGGGGAAAGCTGTGTTTAAAATAAACAGCGTGGGGATGGCAGCCCGGCCGCCAGGGCAGACTGATGAAAGCCTCTTCGTGCAGCTCATTCTTGTCACTCTGCCACCCCGCGCTCACATTCCGTGAACCGAGCCCTTGCGCTGCCAGAGGCCTGGGCTCCCGCACCCCTGCCTGTGACTCCCACAGAGCCGGATG